ACTATTATTTTAAAAATATAGTCTACCTCATCGTTTAAGTGAATGTATCACAAAATAAAGGTAATAAGGAAAATAGTACATTTATATCAAAATATATCCTACCTCATCGTTTATGTGAATGTGTCACAAAGTAGAGGTAATAAGGAAAATACTATAATACTTAAGAATGTATCCATTTGTATAGGATAAACACGGCGTGGTAACTCGCCGAACAGTACAACCGAGAACATCCGAAGATGAACACACCTTCTGTTGGGAGCAACCAAGTGTAGGATGGTCACTCCATGAGTGTGTAGAAGTATAACTTCACATAGTATGTAGTAGTATCTCTTCATAAAGTATGTACTAGTGTCTCTTCGTATAGTATGTACTAGTGTCTCTTCGTATAGTATGTACTAGTGTCTCTTCGTATAGTATGTATTGACTCATGTATGAACTGACTCTTAGTGTGATTCCTTGTACTAGGAATAGTATATAGTATCTCCTAACTATACCTATTATAGTTACTAGTAATGTACGTGTATAACCGAAAGTATGCCTTTGCTACCTAAAGGTACTGAATTGACTGATAGAACTTTTATGTCTGTATATGTATACATAATATACAACTAATATTTAGACGACATTCGGACAAATAACCAATGCCCTAAGGCCACATCCAAACAAAGAAAAGGAATTAAAGCGAGCTAGCAGTCATAAGTCCTTTAAACATTACTTATATAACTCTACATATATAGGCATGCATTCGACGATATAAAAGTATAAAAGAAGTTTTGTAACACCTTTGAAAAGTTAAGAAATAAGAATTGATGACTTGATGTCAGTTTATAAAACGATTTAAAAGCAGTTTGTTTGATAAGAATATTTTAGAGTATAATAAATCCTTTGTTTGAAACACAACTTGAAGTACATGAAAACCTTTGTTTGGAATGTAGTTATAACAGAGTTTGGAAGGAAAGATAAAGTATGTAAGACATTTTGATAAAGAGTTTAACATGTAAAACGTTTTGAGAAATCATTTTAAAGTAGTATGCTTAGCAACACAACTAAAAGTGTAGTAAATCCATAGTTTGATAGTATTATTAATCACATGTGATTCATATAATAACTATCATGATTCAAGTTGTATTCCCCCCCCAACCCCCATAAAAGCATTTAAAATAATTTAAAAGGTTAATTAAGGGGTATGAACTTACATGTAGTGAGTGGATCGTATGGAAGTGTCGGACAAATGCTAGGTGTCAAGTGAAGACTTGAACACACACAATGATCCTAATAACATATAAATGCTAGGGGTCATATTTAGAGGCTTAAAGGTATGGAGTCTCAAGTTTTTAAGTGTTCCAAGGTTAAACAAGGGTCTATATAAGTTTAAGGTCCAAGAATTAACCTTAACATGAGTTTACGGCCTAGGGACCATTCCTCCATGAGTTTACGGCCGTAAAATCATGGTATTATGTACCAACTCGAAGTTTAATGTCCCCAGTTCATTGGTGGAGGGTTCTAATCCAAGTTCTAAGCATAAGGAAGGAAATTAGGGCATCAATGCACCCTTAAAGGGAGTTTACGGCCTTGGGAGATCCTTGGCCGTCAACTCTCATCCAACCCTTAAATCTTGATGTTTAAAAGGCCTAAACATGTTTAATCTAGTACATAACAAGTTAGAACAAGAGTGCTTACGATATAAGAGCTTGAAATGGTCGGTTTTGGCCAAGAACACTAGTGTGTGTTCTTGGTGAAACTTGAAGATATATGAAAACATGATTTTTATGGATGAAATCATGTAAGGATACTAGATTAAGAGATGTATCAACAAATCTAGGTAGAATACTTACATCTTTTGAAGATTTTGGAAGAAAGTCTTGATGATACTTGAGAGGATTTGAAGAAAAATCAGCCAAGGAAGGAAAGGAATGAAACAAATGGCCAAAACTTGATCATATAGGGTGAGTTTACGGCCCACATGGAGTTTACGGCCGTAAACTCCAGTGTGGTGGACGTGAACTCATGGTCATGGTGTTTTAGGCCTGGTCTTTGTACTATAGCTTCAATAGATAAAGCCTAACACTTATCCCTTAAGTGTACAAGGCTCAGAACGCTCAAACAGACTCTAAATTCTGCTAAATGATAGCAGGAATGAGTTTGACTTTCAATGACGTGTTTGACTGTACATGATAGAAAATTTCGGGTTGTCATAGTGTGAGATAGGATAATTGACAATCTAAAATTCATATCATTCCAAGAAACCCATGTACGTTAGCATGATGAGCTTGCAATTGTAAGAAATTATTATGTGTAGGCTTACAGAAATATTTTGGATCATAAAACTCAATCACAGTTTTGCAAAAAAAATAAAAAATGGAGACTATCTTTTACGATCCTAATGAACATCCTAAAACTCTCGTCCAACACATCAAGCGTGATGCCATATGTTAATTGACGAAGTTCGACTATGTATTTTTATAAATGAGTGAAACCGGGTACACCTGTAGCATCGAGACGTTGTTGGAAAAAGCTACACTCCCTTGTTAAATCCTCGACTATAAGTTCATATAAAAGTTTGAACATTCTGAAGCGCTTTCGAAAGTAATACCCTTGAAAAGTGGCATTCTCGTGAATGTACTTGTACCAAGCGTTGGATGGGTTTTTCACGGTTTCTGTAAATATATTTTCGTGTTCTCCATTGAAAACTTTCAACTGTTTTATTGTATAAAACATCATACGCTTGCTCCGCCATTTAACCACAAGCGACAACAACATAAAAGAATAAATTGAAAATTTTCAAAAGACGATAACATTTTCTACTGATTTTGAAAAATAAAACATCAGAAAGATATAAAAATTTGGTTTTGGTTCGAAGAAATAAGGATGAAAGGTTTATTTTATAGATAAATTTTTTTTATATATATTGAATATTCTGACTGTTCAACGGTCACTTTTCTTCCCCACCGATAAAGGTTTGTGAAATGGGATAATGACTTGAAAGGGTAACGAACTTTCGACTTTTGTCACATTTAGTCACTAAACTTTTTTTCGTTATCTATTTGCCATTGAACTATTGAAACTGTTCACATTTTACCCTTATGACCGACTGTTGCCGGTCATAAGGGTAAAATGTGAACAGTTTCAATAGTTCAATGGCAAATAGATAACGAAAAAAAGTTTAGTGACTAAATATGAACAAAATCGAAAGTTCGTTTCCCTCTAAAAAGTTCAATGACTAAATGTGAACAAACTTTCTCTTGTATTATGTTTTAGCAAATTATTTATTTTTGTTAAATTGTAGCAACATTTGTTGATGAAGAAATCTATGAAATTATAAAATAAAAAATATAAAAAATATTAAAAAAAAAAAAACTGAAAATATATGTAAAAAAAACAAAAAACTAAAACCGAAATAAAAAACCAATGGTTTGACATTTTCCAAAATAAAAAATCAAAATTTCCAATCTGATTTTGGTTTTACAAAAAAATAAATCATTCTCACTGATGTGAATTATGACCATTAGTTTGGCATGCAGAATTTGTGACATCCAATGAATATGTAGTTACAACATCGTCTGAACTCGTAATTCATAGTAAGGGGTTAGAGTATCATCGCATGAATACGTAGTTACAACATCGCCTAAACTCGTAATTCATCACCTACAGGTTATGGGCCTTCTGGTGTTTCCACTGGGTTGTCTAGAATAGTCCGTGGTCGTCATCTATACTCTGGTAGATGACTACATCGCCATATTTTCGGTTAAGGTTATGGTATCTCCTTTCATTCTACATCACATATTCATCATCATCTATTTACCTAATTATCATCACCTTTCTATCATCACCTATCTCTCATCATTTTATTTCATCACACACCAACTATTTCATCTACCCATGTTTCATCTGCAACATATTTGTAGATATAAAATAAATATACCGTTTAAATCTTTTAAAACATGTATAAAATCGTTCATCCAGCATAGACAACACGTATTCAAATAATATGCACACATAGCACGTAATTTATATAAAATACTTCATATCTATGTGTAAGATGAAAATAACTATATATACCGTAAAAATCCCATAAATGCTTCCTAACTTCGAACCCCAAGGTTTACTCTACTAAAGCTTCATATTCTCGGCTCTCTGGACCTAGAAGGGTCTAGATCTATCACACCAAAAAGCTCAAGATAGCTCTTCCTTTCACTCTACACACTCAAGCTCGCTAGGGTTCTCACTTATAGGAAAGGTAGTCGCAATTGAAGGCCATAAGTGCCTTTAAATATGGCTCAGGCCCAAAGATTTAGGGTTTCTGCCAACAACGCGGACTCGTCGAGTCGCCTCACCGACTCGTCGAGTCCATTCATTAATCCGAGTCATCAGTCGCAACCTTACTCGACGAGTTGAGGCGTAAACTCGTCGAGTCTCTCTTCTTAACTCAAAAGAAAAATACTTAAATTACGATATCTGGAAATCCGGATGTTACATTTTGTTTTTTTATTTCATAGATTTCTTCATCAACAAATGTTGCTACAATTAAACAAAAATAAATAATTTGCCAAAACATAATGCAATAGGAAGTTTGTTCACATTTAGTCATTGAACTTTTTAGAGGGAAATGAACTTTCGATTTTGTTCACATTTAGTCACTAAACTTTTTTTCGTTATCTATTTGCCACTAAACTATTGAAACTGTTCACATTTTACCCTTATGACCGGTAACAGCCGGTCATAAGGGTAAAATATGAGCAGTTTCAATAGTTCAATGGCAAATAGATAACAAAAAAAAGTTTAGTGACTAAATATGACAAAAGTCGAAAGTTCGTTACCCTTTCAAGTCATTATCCCTTGTGAAATTTGAAGGGAGAGGTGCGGGCACCCAAGTCCGCATAGAGGTTGATGTTTCCCTATGTACGTTGCATTGAGTACGGCTGAAACCGAACGCCACTCCCTCGGGTCTTACGAGACTATAAACTATATTTATCGTTATTTATAAAAGATTAAACCTAAACAATTAAGCCGAAAGATACAGATTTCATATCCATCTATTTGACTGCTTTGAGACTTTGACTAATTATCATATTATCGTCTTCAAAATTCCTCTCTCTCTCTCTCTCTCTCTCTCTCTCTCTCTGCAGTTTCCTGTGATTTCTCTCTCTATAACAAACACACTTATTATAAGAAGGAAAGCTGCCAAAGCCTTAAAATCATGACGCTTCACATTGTTAACATTTTGCTACATATCCACAGGAACTGTTCCGTTTCTGATGTTCAAGTATTTCAAAGTTCACATGCTTATCCTTAACGGATTTCATTTATGAACACCCACACTTTATAATCGTTCTGTTTCACTTTCTATTAGTTTATAGAGAAGCGAGACGATTTACAAGGCAGTTTTCGTTTTTTGAAATCGAGTTTTCTGAGATGGGTGTTGGATGGTTGTCTATGGCGGCGGCGGTTGTAGTGATGGTGCTGCTAGTAGGCGGTGTAAATGGTTTTCCGGCTGAGGATCTGGTGGTGAAATTACCCGGACAACCAGATGTTAGTTTCAGACAGTATGCTGGATATGTAGACGTGGATGTGAAGGCTGGGAGGAGTTTGTTCTATTACTTCGTTGAAGCCGACAAGGATGCTGATCGTAAACCCCTCACACTTTGGCTTAATGGAGGTCTGTAATCTGTTCCCCTCTCTCATTTCAATATTCGATTTGATATCTCGATTCAAAACTATATTATGTGGTATTTGAATGTGGTTATGTGGATCGAAATCATCATTTTGAATGGAATTATAGTGATTCAAGTAGTAAATAAGCTTATAAACCACATAAATGTAAGAACAATTAACCTATTCATAGTTTAATCGACTAATCTCAAAGTCCCAACAATCGATTTCACCAATTAAGCTATTTCAAATAACCATATCGTCACTTAGATTCAAATGGAAACAAGAATTTTTGAATTTTAGTGCAGAAAAAGGGGGAGAATGCAGGACATGCAGGTGGGGTGTTGTTAAAAGGGATATAAAGCATGGGGAGACATTTCGAGTTCCCTTTTTACAAAACTGTACAGCTGTACTCTAAACAAACAACATGCTCTTCTCAAAACTTTTCCTTTTTGGTTGTTCCTTGTAAAGTTAATATTTTTAGGCACAAATACTAATTTACTATATAGTCTACTCTATTTTTCACATAGGTAGTGTAAAAATAACAATATAAAACTTTACATGTTTTTAACATAATCTATAAATCTAACTAGCTGGGTTTCATTCTACATCTTTTCCCATGATGATAGTGTATATAAGGAATCTCACATTCATCTTTGAATTTAATGCCGGTTGAAATATTGCGTGAGATTGTGAATTTTAGAAAGAAATCATTTAAGGTTTTCTTGATTTTGATGTATAAGTAGTTGGGGGCAGTGTGTAATTAATTCCAAGAGTTGGGTTCAAAATTGAACATGGTTCTTTGGGATTTGAAAACGTGAATAGTTTTCTTCCTACTATATGTTATTTTATTGAAAATTAAAAATGAGATAAAATACATAAAATTTTTGAATTTTATCTGTAGGCCCAGGTTGCTCATCAATGGGTGGAGGAGCCTTCACAGAGTTGGGTCCATTTTTTCCACAAGGTAATGGCCGGGGCCTACGCATAAATAAAAAATCATGGAATAAAGGTGAGAAGCTAAATATTTGTTAATTTAATAATATTTTATTTTTTATTCAAATATTTGTAATTCTCATCTTCGTGTAATATATTTTCTTGTTATCAATTAGCATCAAATTTATTATTCGTGGAGTCTCCGGCGGGGGTAGGATGGTCATACTCAAACACATCCTCAGATTACACAACAGGCGATGCCAACACGGGTAATTAACAAAAGACATTTTTACCCTTCAGTATTATCTTTCCCTTTTGGTGTCTAATAAAAAATTATTTTATGAGTAAACAGCAAGAGATATGCATACATTCTTGATGTATTGGTACAAAAAGTTTCCATCTTTCAGATCACGAGATTTATACCTAACAGGCGAAAGTTATGCCGGTATGTTTCTAGAAAAAAACAAATATGGATTTTATTATTTTATTTTATTTATTTGTGTGTTATCTTTTTTACCCAAATAGTTGACTAGTTTTATAAAGATAATTGTTAATGATGATGTTACATGTAGGACACTACATACCACAATTGGCTATTGCCCTTTTGGACCACAATGCCCATTCTACCGGTTTCAAGTTCAAAATCAAAGGAGTCGCTGTAAGATTTCATTTATTTAACTTTACAATAAACATACATTGAGTGGCAAATTAGTAATTACCGAACTTTTTTGTATCAGATTGGTAATCCGCTTCTTAAACTTGATCGCGATGTGCCAGCTGTATACGAGTATTACTGGTCACATGGGATGATATCTGATGAGATTGGTCTTACTATTATGAATGGATGCAGTTTTGAAGATTACACGTATGCTTCACCTCACAATGAATCTGTTGCTTGTAACAATGCCATTTCTCAAGCAAATAGCGTAATTGGTGATTATATTAATAATTATGATGTCATTCTTGATGTTTGCTATCCATCACTAGTAGAACAAGAGCTTCGTTTGAAGAAAACGGTAACTTTGCCACATTTTTTATAGTTTTCTCACAACAAAGATTGTATCAGACACAAATGCTATTTGTGCCTCATACATTGTTGTGCCTATAATCAGGCACAACAATGTGTCTAATAAAGTATGTATCAGGCACAATGTAAAACATTGTGCCTGACACAAAATTTGGAACCTGTTGATGAGTTTTGTGTACCTTTTTTTTTTGGTTGAAAAGGTGACGAAGATGAGTTTTGGAGTTGATGTGTGCATGAGCCTTGAAAGACGGTTCTATTTTAACCTTCCAGAGGTTCAACAGGCTCTCCATGCTAATCGAACCAAGTTGCCGTATTCTTGGAGTATGTGCAGTGGGTAAGTTTTTTTTAATGCTGACGTGGCTTTTTTTTTTAAATTTAATGTTTAATATATTGAAATGATATAAAATGTTCTTGTAACAGAGTTCTAAATTACAACGATAATGACGGAAACATCAACATTCTCCCTTTGCTTAAAAGAATCATCCAAAACAAAATCCCCGTTTGGATTTTCAGGTACACTTTTGTGCTCAACAAGAAAACACATAGAAAGTGTTCGTTTTACTTTAACGCAGAAAGAACGATTTAACAGATAAAAGAAAAGTCTGGGCTTTTACAAATTTGTCCAAATTTACTTTTTCCTTTCCCATTCTCCAAAGTATTTTGTCATATTCTAAAAAAATTAACGTTTTTAAAATGTTTTAACATGTAGTGGGGATCAAGATTCTGTAGTTCCATTGCTTGGATCAAGAACACTTGTACGTGAATTAGCACACGAATTAGAATTCCCGATTACTGTTCCATATGGAGTGTGGTTCCATAAAGGCCAGGTACTTTGATTAGTCAACTGTTTGTTTCGGTTTAGTTTGACTTTTCTGATTAGTTTGACCAAAACAAAAAATCAAAATGTGTTTAGGCTGGAGGTTGGGTGACTGAATATGGAAAGCTACTTACATTTGCAACAGTGAGAGGTGCGGCTCATATGGTGCCATATGCGCAACCGTCGCGTGCTTTGCATTTGTTTAGTTCATTTATTCGTGGTTCAAGACTCCCGAACAACACACGTCCTTCTATTGAGGACTAAAAAAACTAAATCTAATTTTGGATTTTTAAGTTATGTTTTTCTGGATTATTCATGTGGCCGAAGGCGAGAAAAAATTTGACTCTGGTAATCTTCGTAATGTAAGAACAAAAAAGGAGTTGAATTAAATATCACAAGCCATTGTGGTTAAATTGAACAATTGAACTCTGAAGGTTTATGTTTTAGTTTTCAGAAAATCCGCTGGAACCTAATGTTATGTTGTTTGAATGGTTTTAAAATATTAGAAACGACCAATTCTGCTAAGAAAACTAGGCATCGATGAATTTTCTATAGAAAAACTATGTTGTTTTGATTTGTTTTATGATTAAGCCTTTGTTTGACGCATATAAAGTAATTTTTAAGTGTATTGCAATTTGGTGTTTGGTGAAACCATAAAGGTAGACTATAGTTGCTTATAAACTAGTTTATTTGATAGCTTATAAGTTAAATGTTAGCTTTTCAACAAGCACACAACCAATGAACCCCACGACTAACATGGATAAAGTTTAGGGGTATAATTATAACATAAGAATTTATTGGCTTTAGTTTTAAATGGTCCCTCATTTATTTTTTTGTGCATTACATGGGTGCAATATTTCAAATTACATGTTAAATGAGGGAATGATCTCTGTTTATAGGTTGAGCTAGTGACATGTCTGTATTGTACTTGCATTGTATTGATTTGGACTTTGTCTATCCCCATGAAGGCATGAACTACACCTCTTCCAACTTTCCCTGATAAGAAATGAAAAAGGGTCCCTTAAGATTGGTTCATTTTTTTCGTTCCCCTTTACACACACAACTTCTTCCTTTTCGATCTACATCATCTCGTCATCTTCATCACATCATTCTAGAAAGAGTGAGAATCATTTCACGATTGTACGTAACATAAAAAACCCCTATGATAGTGTGTAAGCACTCGACAAACTAAGCAACACAAATCACGGAAGAGAGAAACTATTAGAGATAATAAATGATAGATGTTGATTTATTTTATCTCCTGTATTTTAGTATTAGTTTGTTACTTTATTGTATATCCATGTATTATACATAGAATGTGAAATACACGATATCATTAAAAACCCCTGGATATATTTTTTATTTATCTATCGTGCAATATATGTATATATCGATATGTTTTTTATGCATTCCCTTACATTTAACACGGATTATAATCTAGTTTAAAACCATAAATAATAAATGAGTGTGTACGGTGATAGTACATAATCATTTGTTTTGATTTGATGAGTAATGATTAAAATAAAGAGAATGTTGAAATATATTTTTGTATTTTTAATAAAATATAAAAATCAAAATCTAAAATCTTTGATTCTCTAAATGATGAATTTTTATAAATAAAATATAATTTCTTTAATTTTATCAATTAAATACAAACTTTAGTTGAATTTTTATCCTAAATTATCAAAATTCATTTGAATTCAACAAACACAAAATTAAAGAGTGAGATTTTCAGATGAACATATATTATAAGTTGTGAACGTTGAGATCTTACTTGAAATCATTTTTTATTTTACAAAATCTTGATTATAAAATCGAATCGCAAACCTAAGATCATAATGGACAATTTTTTCATAATAATTGTAATTATGTATCCAATTATATTTATATATCTCAGTTTTGACTTAGTTTTATTTAGTTATAAAAAATATTATAGTCCAACTTTTTGACAGGAAATAAAACCAATTATGATATTCTTAAACATGACCAAAATATATTATTGTAAAAACACTTTATAATTATTTTCAATTTAATATTGATAAAAGAACTTTATATCTTATATTTCAGTATAAATATCTCCGTTGTAACTTAAAGGCCCAAATAAATTTTACTGGCCCAAAGACCATTTAACCTACCTGCTCTTTTATTTATTTATCTGTCTTTTTACGATTGTACCCTGGATCCTATCTAAAACCGAGTTATTGCATACGTGGGATCCTAATGCACACCTCTTTTACTTTTGATATTTCCCCAAGAATCACCTACCAAACGGAGTTGATTTCACCAGATTTATAGACTTTACATACACATCATCACGTTCAAGCATGTTCATATCAATGGCGACCATCACTGAAATTACCAAAACGCCCTCCTCTCCCCCTCAAATATTTCTCCCTTCGAAACTTTTTTGTTACTCAACCAATGATTCACTGCAACCACAATTGACAACAAGGTAAGATCTTCTATTAATGATCACTTCTTGTGCAGATTCTCTGTGGGTGGGTTTAACTTCAAAGTTCAGTTTCTAGGGCTTCTTTCAAGTTTCAAGTGCTCATTCTTCGTTATTGATCAGATTGCTTGAATTTGGTTAAAGGTTTGATGCGATTTTGTTTACTACCATTTTTTAGGTTATTCTAAGAATTGAAATTTGGGGAAAATCAAATGCTTAATAGAGTCTATTCGGCTTCCCCTGGATATTTTAGGTCTTCTGTGAATTGGGCACATTGTAAAAGATCTCGTTTTAGGTCGATCAACAGATTCAATTTGATTAGCTCTTGTTTATTTATAGTGTTAGCTATAACTTGTGTTTATATATACCTGTATGAAGCTGTTCCTTCACCTGTAATTCTTGAAAAAAACACGATCAACGATTTACAAGAATCAAACGGTGTTTGTGATCTGTATGATGGAACTTGGGTTGTTGATGAAACTTACCCTTTATATAATGCATCCGAGTGTCCTTTCGCTGAGACAAGTTTTAATTGTTTAGCAAATGGTCGAAGAGATAAAGGGTACCTCAAATGGAAATGGAAGCCCAAAAATTGTGATATTCCTAGGTTTAACGTAGGGGTAATTTTGGAAAAACTTCGTGGGAAACGAATTGTGTTTGTTGGTGATTCTTTGAGTAGGACTCAATGGGAGTCTATGATATGTTTGCTCATGAATGGTGTGGAAGATAAATCAAGTGTTTACGAAGTCAATAGGAACAAGATAAGTAAAAAAATTAGGTATTTGAATGTTCGATTTCATCCGTTTAATTTCACAATCGAATTCTATCGATCTGTTTTTCTTGTGAAAATTGGATCAGTCCCAAAACGTTCACCAAAAAGGGTTCGATCCACAATTAAACTTGATGAGCTGGATGGAATTAGCTCAAAATGGATCGATTCAGACATTTTAGTGTTCAATACAGGCCATTGGTGGAATCGTGCAAAACTTTTTGAAATGTAAGTCGTTCTTCTCTGCTTATTTTTTTTTTTTTTTTTTCATTTAGCATGATTTCTTGCATTTAGGTCTAATAATTTGGATTTTTTGAACAGGGGTTGTTATTTTAAAGTTGGGGGAAGGTTGAAACTTGGAATGTCAACAATGTCAGCATATACAACAGCATTGAACACTTGGGCTTCATGGGTCGAAAATACGGTGGATACGGATAGGACCCGTGTGTTCTTTAGGACTTTTGAAGGCAGTCATTGGAGGTATGTTAAATATATGGAAAAAGTGTACATTTTGACTTTTAATATCTACTAACGTTTTTTTTTTTCTTATGTTATCAGCGGGCAAAATGGTCACACATGTGAAGTTACGGAAAAGCCCTTGTATAGAAGTAACATGGAATACAGAAATAATTTTTCGGATATTATAAAAAGTGTGGTGAATAATATGTCGGTTCCTGTAACTACAATGTACGTGACACCCATGGGATCGTTTCGTAGTGATGCACATGTTGGTACTTGGAGTGATAATCCAACGGTTCCTGATTGTAGCCATTGGTGTCTACCTGGACTCCCGGATGCATGGAATCAAATCCTTTTTTCATATCTATGAAACTATAACATGCTCACTTGACTCTGACTATTATAACAAATTTAATTAATTTGTTGTTGTGCGATGCTCACATTTAATAATTGGTTTCTCAGATTTTTATATACGTTACGTGTGGATAAGTGTGATGTATTCTGATTTTCTTTGATGTATTGTATTTGCGTTTCTTTAAACTTTAACAGATTTAAAGTAGTAATTCCCAAATCAAGTGTTAGATTTTAAACAAAAATAAAGTCAGAGTCAATCAATGGGTGTTACCACAATGAGTATTCGGCAAAAATAGCCCGAAACTTTTGAAACATGTATAACTATATAAAAATACTTATCTAAAACATGTAATTGATTTTAATGAGTTTGCTAATTTTAATCTTAGCATTTTTCCTGGAATTTTGCATGTAAAGGAATTGAAAACAATGGCCAACCGCTAATCTCTCTCCATCATTCTTCATATCATCTCTCTTATATCTCCCTATACAATTTTCTGGATGTTTGTACAAGTCCTCCTTAATCCCACCATCTGTAATTAAGGCCACCATCTTCTCACCATCTGTAATTAAGGCCACCATCTTCTCAGCCCTAGCAACACCACTTCTGCCGTGTCTGATAAACGTATTTCTTTCAAGTTACCACCCTCCACCACAACAAAGAACAAACCCTAATTAACAACCCTTCATGATTTTTTTCATGCCTCGAACCTACATTGGTGGGGTTCGAGTTGTATGAAAAAAATCAAGAAAAACAAAACGTAATTAAGAGCAGTGGGATTAAAAGTCGTATATATATAATATATAGGGCAAAAGAATTAATTAATGGATTCTCGTCCATTGGACATCACGGTGATCTCCGCCAGTGGCCTGGATAATTTTTTATTAGTCTTCAAGATGAAAGTTTACGTCGTTGTCTCGTTGATAAATGGCAAATCCGTCATTGAAAAAAAGACCCATATGTCCAACGGCCGGAACCCTAGGTGGAACCACCGGATTAAGTTCCCCGTCGAGGAGTCAGCCATCCAGACCAGCACCCTCCTGTTTGTCCTCCGGCAACACCGCATGCTTGGTGACAAAGACATTGGCGAGGTGTCCATCCCTGTCCGTGAACTCCTTGAGACAAACTCCGGCTATGGATCCACCGAACATGAAGTCGACTATCAGGTTCAGTCCACGAGAGGAAAATGTAAAGGTACGTTCACCTTTTCACACGAATTTAGAGAGAAGGTGCTTCCGGTTAGAGCAGACGGTGGTTCTCATCCAGTACCGGTTCCAGGCACTACATACATGGTAAATCAACAAGGGATGCCTGCTTATCCCCAGCAACCGTACTCAACAACTCCTCCAGGATATGTAAACTACCCATGCGGCCCAGCGCCGCCCCAGTATGGTGGCACGTGGTACCCACCACCGGGCACAACACCGCCAGGGACGTATCCATATCCTCCTCCCCCACAGATGGGTTATAATCAACATTTGCAGCAAGGACCGTAATCAATTGGAGTAGATTAGTGGCAGGTAGTGGTGGTGGGGGTTGATTGAAGGACATGGAAACTGAAAGCAATGACGATTTTAAGGCTTTGATCATTCATTTTTCTTGGTCTGAAACATGGATTACTATGCATTTTGGGGGTGTTTCTTCTCTATTTTGTCCACATCAAAAAGATTAGCATCTAATGAAGAAGATCATCTTACCGAAGACCACAATGTTATAGCAGTATTTGAAAAAAGTCAGTTTTATCTTGTTTGAATCGTCGTGATATTATCTCGTGTAATCATTCATGTTTGATATGTATTTTGATTGATATACTATGAAAATGTTATATTTTGGTGTATAACTTTCTCTCTATTATGTAACATTCTAAAATTTAAGATCCATGTTCTTAAATTAACAAGATAATTAAATAAATGATGATTTACATAATTAAATCATTAAGGAATGATCATATTGTTATTTGATATGAATATTAGAAAGAAAAAGATTTAAATAATAATACTTCAAAGTTAAGGGACCAAAAGTGTTGATTTGGTAAAATGTTTAACCATTGGGTTAACATGGGAAATAGACTACTAAATCTATGTAATGGATGGGGAATGGCTTATTATATAAATCCTTAAGTTAAAATAAAAAATATTAGGATTTGGGTAGTTTTGGTCAAGAGGTGCAAACTTAAGGGGCCAAATATGTAAAATCAGGATTATAAGGTACAACCCTTCCCAACTTCAGATATTTCACCATGGAGAGAGTACTTCAGATATTTCACCATGGAGAGAGTTTGAGGCCAAGAAGATGGCGATTTTGGAGAGGATATCATGCTCAAGTGAATATCTATCAAGAGATTGAAGTTATAATAAATGATTGTGATCATTTAAAGTAGAATGTCTTCTCCTCTAGTTTTCAAATTCAAATTCATGACTTGGGGGATGTAACATCATGTTTCGAGAAGTTTTCTTATTCAGGGATTATGGACAATAAATGCATCGAGTAAAGGTCTTGTGCTTTAAGAGAATTGAGTTTAGACCTTAATGGATGTTGATAATATTAGTTAGGTAGCCTAAGCCCTTGGTTTGTGTTTTGGAGTCAAATGGTAAAATGGAAAAAGTGATGTTTCAGACTTCTTGCATGAATTAATGATTTTAGTTCGATATGTTTTAATTCAAAAGTAACTATATAGGGTTGTAGGGATCGTCAGTTCCTTTCCGTGGATATTAAACGAAGAAGTTATGATTGTTTGAAGTTGATGTGGATTTTGGTGAAAATGCATCGCCACGGTATGGCGTAAGCATTGCTACGATACGACAGTTGACACAGCGTGGCGAAAGCATTGCCACGACACGACAAACTGTTAGGCCCAAGCACATTATTTTTAGGGTTTTTAATGTATTTAAGCATAATATTCCCACTTTTTGGCCATTTAATGAGCCTTCATCACCTCTAGAACTCCTTGGTAGAAATCCTAGTTTCCACCTTCAAGATTGGAGCTCTCCCCTCTCCTTTCTCCTTCGTTGGATGCTTTTGGTGGTGTTTTGATGAAGATCAAGTAGGTTCTTTTAGTTGCAAGGAATGATGTTTCAAGTTTGGATCCATCAAAGACACTCCATTTTTAGACTATTGTGAGTATAAAGTTCCAAACTTGATCTTTTGTTCTTTACATCTTATCATTTAATGTTTGTGGCACTTTTGGTCCATTTTATGGGTGATCTTGGAGTTGAGTGGACTCCAACACTTTTTGACCAGTTTGGAATGCTTCTTGGACCTCATAGACTAGGAAAGTTATGATCTTTTTCCTTCCCTTTTAGCCACGAAAGTTATATTGGTCAATTAGGTCATTTTGGTGTATTAAAGTTTAAATCTTGAAAGATTGTTACATTATTATAGATAAAGTTGGAAACTTTATCCATCTAGACAAATTGTTGATTCAGATCTAAAGATAGGAGACTTGGACTTACTGGATTAAGTTGAGAAATATGCATTTTTGGTCCCTTTAATATTTAAAGTCTAGATCTTGGTGATTTGGACCATCCTAATGGATAAATTTGGAAACTTTATCCATCATAAAACATTTAGGATATAGATATGATGATATGAGCTTTGGTCCTTATGGATTAAGCTCTTATTGAAGGAAAGACTTTAAGACTGAAGACCACGGCATGGCCAAGGAAGGCCCACAGTGTGGTGACAGGATTTATCTCGTCTGTTTTGTCCGGATGTGCCCATGTTGTGGCATGATGCTCGCCACGACGTGCCAACGAGTTTGTTCGTGACTATTTTGACTGGATTCTGCCATGCCGTGGTGGCATGTCTACCACGACGTGGTACCAAATTTGATCGAGATTGGATTGCGTGACCACAACGTGGCCATTGGTTGGCCACGACATGGACATCAGTTAAAGTTGACTTTGACCGTTGACTTTTGGTTAAACTTGGGTAGCAATGCGCTTTTTGCTATGGACTAGTCTCAGTTTGGATTTAGGTAGCTTGAATTGGCTAATTTGTTGTTGAGGTAGCTGTTCAGCTTCTGATGAGTAGTGAAAGTGAGTCTTCTCACTGTAATTATGGGTCGAAGGCACCAATATCGGCCCACTAGATTATGTTGGATGTTAGTTATCTTTGTGATACTTGCATGGAAGACTTTGGGGGCAGCCCATGACATTTGGGTGAAATACCATGGGGGTACTCCATGAAAATTGCATGAAAGACCATGGGAGTAGCCCATGTCCCTTGGATGTTAGACCATGAAGGTAGCCCATAACATTTAAAGGAAAGACCATGGGGTAGGCCATGACACTTAATTGTATGACCCTGGGGATAACTAATTACATTCTAGGTAAAAGACCATAGTAATTGTATGTATAGAATTTGGTATTTGGGGGGACTTATTAAGCTTTGGGCATACGGTTTATGTTTAAAATGTTTTCAGGTACATCTGGTTTCAAAAGGAAGAGCCCGACTTAATCGCACTACATCCCCTGAAGATTTATTCTGCATTGAGTTTTTTATGATTTTACTCTTATGTTTCTAGAATCCTTTTACTCTAATTGTCTTTGGGGATAATGAATGAATGGTTTTGACCTATTTAAAATGAAAATTTTACTCGCTATTTTTGGGACGTTACAAGTTGGTATCAGAGTCTTAGTTTGAGTTATTCGGACACACTCTTAGGTGTGTCTGAACTCAAATTGAGAATTTGATAATTTTTTCTGAAAAATAAATAAATTTTCTATAAAGAAAAAGTGTCTAAGGCCCTAACTAAATTTTGTATAATATTGATAAATAAGAGTAAAATTCTTTTTGGGTTTCCCTCATAACCATGAAATTTTTTAGATTGATTTAAGAGAGAGATAAATGATTTATTAATATATTATATGATTAATATATTAAATAGAAATAGTTATAAATAATTTTGAATTAATCATAATTAATTTAATATTAATTCTGGGTTAATTAGAATTTATTCTAAGTTGAAGGACTAAAATTGTAATTGTTTAAAAGTTGAGCAGATGACAGGTTCTTGAACCCTCCTACTTGGGATGGTTTTGGAGTCTTTCCCAGAGTCTTTTGGAAGTGTAACGCCTGGTTCTTGATACATATTTTAAATATGAATTCTTTCATTTTTACTTTGGGACTCAACGAGTTGGAGGCCCCAACTCGTCGAATCGAGGCAAAAACTTGGACACAGGTGGAAGGATCTACTTGCTGAGTCGGAAGTCCCAAATCTACGAGCAGACCTGTCTGGATGAATCCCTAAATTTGAGGGTTTTCACCCTATTTAAACAACTTGTAGGGTCTCCAGTCCAGCTTCCATCACCCTCACACCCTCTTCACGAAACCCTAATCGATTATTGAGTGTTCTTGAGATTTGTGTGCCATTTGTGTATCCTTGAAGCTTGAGAAGAAAGAGGAGGCTTGGAAGATCAAGAGAAAGCAAGTAGATCTAAATATTTTGTCACACTTCCAACTTGGTTGAGGTAAAAAGCTTCAACCTTGACCATTTACCTCTTAGATCTCTAGTTAGGGCTAGAATATATATTTTCTAAGTCTTAGTAAAGCCATTTTCGGGATTTGATGAATCAAAGGGGGTGTAACTTTAGATCTTGAACCTTTGAGGGTTCCCATGGCAAAAAGGTGCCAACTTTATGGCCATGAGAGTCCCATGCACCTTGTGGAGCTCATTTTTGGGCCTTTTGAGCTTGAAGACCCATGCATAGACGTAAAGTTTGTGACTTTACGTATAATATGGACCCTATGAAGTTAGATATATGTTATGGATGCATCAAGACCGACTAAAATCAACTGGATAGTTTTGAACATGGAATGACTCGACGAGTTGCTCATACGACTTGACGAGTTGGGTCGCAGTTTCCCCCAATCTTTTCTGATAGTGAGTTTGAAGAGGACTCAACAAGTTGGGCTTGTTTATGGACTTGGAGATCATGGAACTCGGCGAGTTCAAGAAAAAACTCGACGAGTTCAAGGCAATGTCCCAATTGTATGAAGAAGAACTCGAAGAGTTCATGGAGAACTCGGCGAGTCCAGGGCTAAACGTGCCAACTTGCATGAAGCAGGAATCGACGAGTTCAAGGATGAACTCAGCTAGTCAGTTGTAGAAGGTCTCGATTCTGTATGAAAGAGAACTCGACGAGTTCTTGAAAGACTACGAGTAGGAGCGAAGTCCCAACACTTTGAGGATTGTGGAACTCGACGAGTTGGTGGACCAACTCGGCGAGTTGAGTCAACCAGATGTTGACTTTGACCAAAAGTTGACTTTAACCAAGGTGTTGACCTTGACTTTGACTTTGAAATGAGTTGATCATGAAAGGTTTAAGAGTATGAAATGGTAATTAAGGAAGGTTGTTATGTGTAGGAGCTGAGAGGAGTTGATCCCTACGTCGAGGACAGTTTAGACACTTCACGACATTGAGGTGAGTTGCCTTCCAGTAGAGTGGGTCGAAGGCCACAATGCTGACTCACTAAGTAGGAGTTGTAGTTAGAT